TACCTTCTGGGCAAAACTATATTAAAAATTAAACACTATCATCTTGTTTGGGTATTCAGATTTTTGATTTATTTCAATGTTTGAGGCTCATGTATATAGATTTCTAAAATAAAGACTAGCACCATAAATCCACATTGAAGTCATATAAATTTTGCCTTCTGGGCAAAGCCATATTCAATATTCACAAGTTTATGAATAATTTGAAAATGCTACAAAGAATCTGTCAACCCAAATTATAGTGTATGCCCAAACATATCCATGTATCTTAGCAGACATATTACAATAAGCAAAAGACCAGGATCATCTTCTTCATTCATCTGTACAACTTCCATTACACATACAATACATATATATAATACCGAATAATAATGGCATACATAATGAGACATTAATATGTCTGTTACAAACGTTACAAAATAATGGCCACCATTAATATTTATAACAACATTCTCAATATCGATTTAACTTTATCACATTAAATCAAACTTACCATTCAGCTCACAAATTCTTTGGAACTATGTCATACTTAGAGCAATTTCTAGGCTCTGGATTAGTATCAATTGATTGCAAATAATTGCAATCAAAGTACCAATCACTGAATATCTCCATATATATATATATATATATTAAACAAAGAAACGTAATGGCCCTATTAATTACCTTGTCCCCTATGATTTTCAGTCTGGAATGGTAAGGCAACTCATGTGCAATACAATTTGTGATCCATATCCCCCTGAAAAATGGAAGAGCTTTGGGGAGTGCAGCTAACACATCAGATCTCAATTCTGAAATTAAGATAAACAAATAAAGAATCAAATTAAATATATTACTATGCCGCACAGGCTCTTTTCAAAAAAAAAAAATTAAATATATTACTAATTACGTCACTCAATTCCCTTAGAAGCTAGGAAATAATAAAATAATTTGTAAAAAAGAAAAATGAAACTTATAGCATTGACCTTGTATTGCCTCTTTTCAATCATTTGTACAGTTTTGACTTACTAAACATACTTTATCCTCCCAAAACAAGTTCCACTTTACCTAAAGTAAAGAAATATTAAAAATAAAATTATATTTTTAATTTGTTTCATCATTAGAACAACTAAAAGTTTCATGATGGAATAACAAATTAGCATTTGAAATCACCTAACTTAATATTAGAACTAAATTGCTTGGAACATTGAATTAAATCACGAAAATTTAAAAACAGTAAAATTAACCTGTATTTGGTCAAATGAAGACATAGCTATAAAGACGGGTGTCGTCACATACTCCAATAAATATTGGGGGAACAAACACTGTAAATAGAAAGCAATTAGTAACAAAAATAATACAATATTTAAAAAAAATAAATAATACAAGATTTATTATGCCACAAACTCAACATCATATTGGTTTTAGTAACAAAAATAAAAAAATATTTTTTTAAAAAAAAATAAATAAAACAATATTTATTATATATGCCACAAACTCAACATCATATTGGTTTTATTAACTTACAAGACTCGGCCTGCTCATTATTGAAGTGCACAGTGGAGGCAGCATTCCAGCTGATCCCTATAAAATAAACTCATAGTAAATTCAAAGTATATAAAATTTCATTAAAGTTTATATTTGAAAAATTAGTTTTAAAAAAGGATATAATAAAACATTTATAAACTAATGAAATCGAAATTACTATACATGTAAATGAATCAGCGCATCAAATGCCAAGTCAAATTGTTTGCTCCCCAATAGATTTTCCCTAATAAAAGATTAGACATATTACAGGGCGTTTGGTTGGAGGGGGGAATTATGTGGGAAAGGAATTGTAATTCCATGGGAATTGAATTACTGGGAATAAAGTGGGAATTTAAATTCCAGTGTTTGGTTGACAGGAATATAATTACTGAGAATTTCAATTCTAATGTTTGGTATACATGGGAATTGAAAGGGAATAAGTAGTATAAAGTTAAAAATATCCATTATTGTTGTTAGACATTAATTTTAGGTTAAAAAAGGAAGGGGTAATTTTGACTCATCACTATCTTTTTTTTCCCAGGAATTAAAATACCGGGGTGGACATGGGATTTTAATTCCATGAAAATGGGGGAATTGCAATTCCATGGAATTGCAATTCCCCCCAACCAAACTACAGAATTTAATGACCTTTGGAATTAGGTGGGAATTAAGTGGGAAGGGAATTTAAAATCCCTCCAACCAAACGCCCCGTTATAGTTACTTCATTCCAATTTTCATAAAAATTTAATTTGTTGTAAATTAAGTTGAATATTTATAAAATTGAACTTACTCATGCACAAAATAGGCTGCAAATGAGAGGCATTTTACTCGCAAACAATGGTAGAAGTTCTCGAAATCGATCACAATGTATCATTGTTGCCAATCCCCCAGTCGAAGAACCAATAAGAAGTGCCTACAAAAAAATTAATAACAATGTTGTATTTTCAAAAAAAAAAAAAAATAGAATTGACCCATGGAATAAATATTTTATTTAAAATAACAAATGCAATCTAAGGGCCCGTTTACTAACAGAAAACTGTTTTCTGTTTTCTATTCTCTGTTTTCGAAAATTCTCTGTTTTCAATTCTCTGTTTTCGAAAACTGAAATTGAAAACGTGTTTACCTATACTTATTTTCGAAATCCATTCTCCATTTACTAAATTAAAAATGTACTACATACATATATTTATAAGTTATTTCGTGACAAATTAAAATGCCATTACAAAACATATTAATTGCAATAATTTAAAATAAGTTGTTTCGTGACGAAATGTGATTACAAAACATTGTAAATAAAATTGAGTACACCATCAATGATTATAATTTGCCCAGAGTGTAATAAAATTGAGTACCCCATCAATGATTATAAAATCAAATATAATCAACTACAAATTTAATATAATTAAATTAATTAGTATAAAATCAAATATAATCAAATACAGATTTAATATAATTAAGTTAATTAGTATGAAATCAAATATAATCAACTACAGATTTAATATAATTAAGTTAATTAATATAAAATCAAATATAAATATATAATCAACTACAGATTTAATATAATTAAGTTAATTAATATAAAATCAAATATAATTAGAAAAAAAGAGAGAGAAGGCGAGAAAAAAAAAAAAAAAAAAAAAAAGCTTCTGCGTTTATCTTTAATTTTTTTCCTAACAATTCATATATATCATCCATTATCCATTAGCCATTACATTCATGGGAAATTGTTAGTTTATGTTGAGTGGCAATGGCGCAATGCACAAAGACACGTGTCATTTAAACCTCAACTGTTGTTGTAGTATTTGCCACGCGGTCTCCTTCCCTAGGAGTAACACTAACAAAACCAGCCCACATCCACCCAGTAGGAGGCCACCAGATCGGAGAAACTCCACGGAATTCATTCACAAAATATTGAATCTGCTTGCACCTATCATCACACTAAATGCCCTCATCTTCTTCTCACCGACCTAGCTATCTCATTTTCAAGATTCTTCGATTTGTCTTGTGTTCTGTTTTCCCGGAAATGTTGCCGGAAAAGTCGTTGTCATCGCCGGAGCGTCGTCTGGCATCGGCAAGGTGGGAACTACTGACCCACCTCTGTTGTCATCGTCAGAGCGCCGTCTGGCATCGGCGCGCGAGGTGGGAACTACTGAGCCACCTCTATTCTCTACGTCGCCAACCCACCTCTGTTCTCTGTATCGCCGAGTATGGAGATCCGGTTCCAAAGTTTGAGTGAGAGTGAGTACAGTGATAAGCTGGAGAGTGAGGAGAATTTGAAGCTATGAGATAGGAAGAAGAAAGAGAGGGCACCTGATAAACTGGAGAAGACCTGGGGAGGAAAGAAGAAAATTGAGGAAAAAAGATGTGGGTAGGATTCGATGCATGCACTAGAGGATTTACTGTTCACCCGTGTGTTTTCTAATTAGAGAACACTTTTTCATCGTGTCTCTGATTTCTTCATAAATGAAGAATAGTTCTCAGTTTTTGGAAATTGAAAAGAGCATAGTAAATGCTTTGCCCTGTTTTCAATTTTCAGTTTTTGGAAATTTCTGAGAATTCTCTGTTAGTAAACGCGGCCTAAATATCTTCAATCATATATCTATATATAAGTAAAGTATCATACATTTTGGGCACAATTCATGCCTCTAGATAGGAGATCATTCATGGTGGCTTTAAATATTCTTGCACCTCGATATGTTACATTAGTCACCTTAAAAAAATAGTTAAAATAATATTTAGTAGCATATGTTGAATGAAAATATTTTAAATTTAAATTTAAATTTATAATACTTACACTGTCAGGTGCTTCGATATAGCCAGTAAATGAGGATCCGTCACAATATGGAACATAAACTCTGTTCCAATTGTAGAAATCTATATATATACACAACAAAATTCAATGATTAAATTAGAGCAGTTATAAAAATAATGAAATAAATAATTTTATTTGGTTTTACCTGGATTATATGTTGAATTATTGGAGAAAAAATCTCCAAATGGGATAGATTGGCTTATATTCTTTGTAGAACCAGAACTACCGCCATATGTAGCACGTGCTAGGCAGTCAGTTTGATTCACACACCAACCCCCACCCTTAAAAATTCAAATCACATATATAATTATGCATGAACAAAAGAAATAAGTACTACATTAAACATTACAAATTCTCTGATGAATTATCTCAGGTCATGTATGAGAATCAACCATATTGTTGAGCAAAGTATACTAGAGTCTAAGCAGAGAAGAAAGGGAATTGATTAACATTGAAAAAGGAAGCTCAACATGAGCTTATATACAGAGATAAGAAAGAAGCAGTTATAACTGCCAAAAGCGTCTACTAAAGACGTCTACCAAACGCACGTCTATCAAACGCGTCTATCAAAGGTGTCTACCAAAGACGTCTACCAAAGGCATCTACCAAAGACGTCTACCAAACGCGTTTTCTTGTCTCCATTCTGTTGCTGCGCTGCATCACTGCACTATGTACTTCATCACCCCCCTTAAGCTGGAGCATGAAGATCTTGAAGGCCTAGCTTAGAGTGAAAAAAATCAAAAGATGGCTTAGGCAAAGCCTTAGTGAAACCATCAGCATTCTGATTGTGTGAAGATATTGCCAGTAGCTTGATAACCCCTTCATGAATCTTTTGTCTTACTACATGACAATCGATTTCTATATGTTTGGTTCTCTCATGGAACACAAAGTTTTCCCCTATAGCAATGGCAGATCTATTATCACAAAACAAGGCCACAGGGCTGTCAATGTGTATCTTCAAATCTGCCAACAAATATATCAACCATTGGATCTCACAAACAGTTGATGCTAAAGCTCTATATTCAGCCTCAGATGATGACCTGGAAATGGTGGCTTGTTTCTTGGTTCTCCATGAGACTAGATACTTTCCAATGTAAATGCAATAGCCAGTTATGGACTTTCTACTTTCTGCACATGTTGCCCAATCAGAATCAGAAAAGCCTTGCACTTTGATATCAGAATTTGATGAATAAAATAAGCCATTTCCAGGAGATCCTTTCAAGTATCTCAACACTCTATGAGCTGCTGTTAAGTGAGTATGTCTTGGCTTATCAACAAATTGGCTTAACTGTTGCACAGCATAGGAAATATCAGGTCTAGTGTTGGTTAAATATAGCAATTTACCAACCAATCTTCTATAGATTCCAGGGTTATCAAGTAGATCTCCTTCCAGATTAGTGAGCCTTAGACCTGTAGTGAAAGGAGTATTTGCAGGCTTGGATTCCAGGAATCCATTCTCTTCTAAGATCTCAAGAGTATATTTTCTCTGACAAATGTTAAGCCCCTTGGAATTTCTGAAAGCCTTAATGCCAAGAAAGAAATTCAATTGGCCAAGATCTTTGATCTTGAAAGATCTGTCCAGAAACTGCTTCAATTGATTAATCTGGACTGGATTGTTGCCTGCAACTAAAATGTCATCAACATATACAATAATGCAATAAAGGAATCATTAAGACACTTTGTAAACAGTGATGGATCTGCAGATGACTGTTGGAAACCATTGCTTAGCAAAGCTCCAGTTAGCTTGTCATTCCACTGCCTACTAGCTTGCTTCAAACCATACAGGGATCTCACCAATCTGCACACTTGATTAGGATTATCACTTTGAAAACTTGGAGGTAAAACCATATATACTTCTTCTTGCAAATCACCATGTAAGAAAGCATTATTAATGTCAAGTTGTTGAATGTCTCAACCTTTAGCAACAGCAACAGCAAGAAAGGTTTTAATTGTTGTCATCCTAGCCACAGGAGAAAAAGTCTCAATGTAATCAACTCCAAGCTGCTGAGTATATCCTTTGGAAACCAACCTAGCTTTGTATCTTTCAATGGAACCATCTGACTTGTATTTGACCTTATACACCCATCTACATCCAATTGGGGTTTTTCCAGGTGGCAAATATGTTAAAATCCAAGTGTCATTCTGGATTAGTGCCTGTATCTCATTCTGCATTGCATTTCTCCATTGCTCATGTTTCACTGCCTCATTATAAGTTTGGGGCTCATGTACTTCAGTGATAGAAGAGGCACAGATCCTCAGACTGGAAGGCAAATTGTCATATGAAATAAACTTGCTCAATGGATGAGGTGAAGTTCTAATAGCAGACTGACAATGGTAATCCTGGAATCTGGAAGGGATGGTTTTTATCCTAGCTGACCTTTTTGGCTGTGGAGGATCAATGTCATCAGTAGGTGGAGGCTCCATCTGTTCAGTATTTTGTTCTGGTGAATCAGAACCAAGCTGTGGGAGTTCTATATGAATATCTGGTGACAAGTCATGAGGAATTTGTGGAGGTGCATCATAGGCTGTGTCACCAGGACTAGTATTAACATCATGAATTCCTCTACTTGGGGAAGTGTCTGTAGGAATGACTTGTGTTGAATCCAAGGCAGTAGCATCAACTTCAACTGAGATGGGAATAAGAGGTAGAGTGGGATTGAATAATTCTGATGTAGTATTCTGTAGATTCCCTTGTTTAAAGGGATAGGTCTGCTCATAGAACCTAATATCCCTAGAGATAAAGGTAACTTTGTTAGCAATATCATACAGTAAATAACCCTTTACATTGGCAGCAAATCCCAGGAAAACACATTTCTTAGCTCTTGATTCCATTTTGTTTCTGCCTTGTGCAATTGTGGCAGCAAAGCATAAACAACCAAAAGGTCTGAGCTGACCATAGTCTATGTCTGTGCCAAATAAAACTTGGTAGGGAGTGGATCCATCTAGAACATCAGTAGGTAGCCTGTTGATCAGGTAAGAAGAGTGTAAAACACAATGACCCCAGAATTTGTCAGGCAGTCCAGATTGGAATTTTAGAGCCCTTGCCATGTTCAAAATATGCTGATGTTTCCTCTCTGCCACCCCATTCTGTTGGGTGTGTATGCACAAGATTTCTGATGTAGAATTCCCTTCTCACCAAAAAAATCATTCATCATAAATTCACCACCATTATCTGTTCTAACAACCTTGATCTTGGCTAGGAACTGAGTGCAAACCATATTATAAAAATTCTGGAAAATAGGTTTCACTTCTGATTTGTGCCTCATTAGATGTAACCAGGTAAACCTGCTATGATCATCTACCATAATCAAGAAGTAATGTTCCCCTTTGAGGGATGCAACAGTAAAGGGGCCCCAAACATCCATATGCAATAAATCAAAACATGCCTTAGCTCTATTAACACTGACATGAAATGTGGATTTCTTGTGTCTTGCAAAGTGACAAACATCACAAACAAAATTATGACATTTCAGAGAAGAGGCAAGTTTTATTCCTTTCAACATTTGTATCTTATTAATAGGAAAATGGCCTAATCTGTCATGCCACAGCTGTAAAGAGAAACTGTTACATGATCTAGAAACTTCATCTGAACTACCACTCTTCTTCTTGACAGGGGGGTTGTTTATCAGATATAGCCCATTTCTTTCTTTAGCAAAACCATCCAATATCCCAAGAGGTCCCTGAAGTTTACAAGAGTCAAGCTTTCATAATGATTTCATAACCTGACTGCCTTATCAATTTTGTTGCAGATATAATGTTGAAATTGAAGGATGGTATGTACAAAACATTTTGCAACAATATGTTCATGTCTAGCCTGACTTGTCCTATGTGTGAGACACTCATCATTTCCCCATTAGGCAACTTAACAGAAACTTCATGAATGACATGGCATGTCTCAAAAAAATCCAAAGAACATGTAATGTGATATGTGGCACCAGAATCAAGAATCCATACACTTGATGAAAATAAGGCATTGTTAATATGGAGATTAGAGATGAACCTGCCTTCAGTAGAGTTTTTGAAATCTGGCTTAAGACCATTTTTACTGACAGTCACAGCTGCACTAGTTGATGCTTGATTCCCTTGGTTCTGATTCTGTAATAGAGACAACAATTTTTGAAATTGTTCGGATGTGAGACCTGCATCACCAACCTGATTCACAAGGGAATTAGGAGCTTGTTGTGAGTCCTGAGTTTGTCTAGTTTTAGACTTATATCATGGGATCCAGCCAGGGGGAAAACCATGTTTCTTGTAGCATTTGTCAATGGTGTGACCAAGTCTCCCACAGAAAGTACACTTAGGCACACTCTTTCCTGATCCATTCCCATTTCCACTACCATTATTGTATTTTTTCTTACTGTTTAGGGCTGAGACTGCCACTAGAGGCTATTCTTCTTCATACTGATCTTGACTGTTTTGCAGAACATTTGCTTGAACTGTATCATTGTTCCTTTGATTGAAAGAGTTTTTAATTTTCCTTTCCATTTTTAAAGCCATACTCAACATTTTCTCAATGGCAGGAATAGGTTCCATAACAAGAATTGCAGATTTAATACTCTCATACTCTTCACTTAGGCCTTCCAAAAACCTAATGATTTGATCCTCATCTTTTTCCTTTTGGATTTTGCTTACTAGGGAGCAGGTACACTTAGGAACACATTCACAAGCAGGAATTGGTCTCATAGCATTCATTTGCATCCATAAACCATTGCTTTTAGTAAAATACTCGTTGATTGAGAGATTACCTTGTGAGCATCGATAGATCTCATTTTGCAGTTCAGCAATCCTGTGTGAATCTATCTGAGAATATCTCTTCTTCAGAGTGTTCCACACATCTGATGCAGTTTCAAGGTACAAGACTCCTTCTGCAATCGTGGAGCTAAGAGACTTGAGGATCCACGAGCAAACAATGTTGTTGCACCTCCTCCAAACAGAGAATCTCCGATCAGTTTCCTCAGGCCTAGTGATGGATCCATCAACAAATCCATATTTGTTCTTCACCTCGAGAGCAATTTTCATTGATCGACTCCATGACGCATAGTTTACTTCGGACAGAGGCGGAAAGACAAGAATCAAATTAGGATTCTCCGTGATATGGAGATACCAAGGATCGTCGAATTCCTGTGCATGATCGACGTTCATCGGAATCTGACTCGAAGAAGCTTCGGCTCCGGCTTGTTCTGTCGAGCCTCCGTCGTTGTTGTTCTGATTTTCTAACATCACCACCGCTATGTAGCTGCGGTGCTCTGATACCATGATGAATTATCTCAGGTCATGTATGAGAATCAACCATATTGTTGAGCAAAGTATACTAGAGTCTAAGCAGAGAAGAAAGGGAATTGATTAACATTGAAAAAGGAAGCTCAACATGAGCTTATATACAGAGATAAGAAAGAAGCAGTTATAACTGCCAAAAGCGTCTACTAAAGACGTCTACCAAACGCACGTCTACCAAACGCGTCTATCAAAGGTGTCTACCAAAGACGTCTACCAAAGGCGTCTACCAAAGACGTCTACCAAACACGTCTTCTTGTCTCCATTCTGTTGCTGCGCTGCACCATTGCACTATGTACTTCATCATTCTCCTGAACACAAATTTATTATTATTGTTATGATTAGAACACATTTTGCATCTCAAAAAAAAAAAAAAAAATTCAGAGCTAACGTGTAAAAATAACTGTGGACAGAACTTACGTCATATCAGAATGTAATGTCACCCAGAATACAAATTATGGGAGCGGAGGGATTTGTAACAAAACAAATTCCATTAGTTTTAATTTATACATCACATAATTATGCATGAGCAAAATAATTTAATGCCACCTAGAAACCCTTGCTAAGCCATAACATAGAACACAAATTATGGGATTTGTAAGAAAACAAACTCAGTTTTAATTATATATATATATATATATATATATATATATATATATATATATATATATATATATATATATTCATATGGGCAATGAGAACTGATCTAATCTCATAAACATAAACACATATGATAAGCTTAGAACACAAAATTATGGGATTTGAAACCAAATTAGGGCAGTTTGATATATCATAACAGTGAAGAATGTTAAGAAAAATTAAAGAATTTAATGACATACTTGTAAGAAAATGAGCCAGTTATTAGCTCCCTCCCCTTGGCCTTGTTCAAAATAATATGCCGACGGAGTACCATCTAGGCATATTACATACAAAACAGAAGAATATTAATTCACAAATTAATTAAAGACCATATAACCTAGCTAGCTAGCTACCTGCTCCTTTCTCGGTGGCATTTTGAACCCATGAGATAGGAACATTATTAGTTTGAGCCTGAAGAGGAGTGAGGATGAGGCCAAGCAGTAAAATTGTTGCAGCTATTGTTGCCATCTGATCTGATGGATCTATACATTACATTAGAGAAAAGTTGAGATATCGAAATCTAAGTTTGATGAAGATAAAATGGAATACTTTAATTTGCAATATATCTATGGATCTAACCGAAAAAATGTTATTATTAAACTCTTAACTCTAATGTTTCAATTATATTGCTCTAATAAGGACATATGTGGCTGACATATTCCATATGTGGTTTTGTTCTAGTTTAGCTCTTGTAAAATAGATGTATGTGGTAGACTAGTTGTTATAATTAACTCCTTGCTACCTTTTCACCACTCTATATTATTTATAGCTCCTTGAGTTTGTATCAATAAATCATTTGGTTCATCAACTCTACATGGTATCAAGAGCCTAAATCTCCTACTACGAAAGAATTTTTTTTTTCTTCACCATGATATATGGATATTCATCATCTATCCATAGTGGACATCAAAATAATTATCTACATCTTTTTTTTC